CCTCGTGGCGTCTCACACCTTGACGCCTCGCTGGCAAAAGCCGGCGTGCGTCGTCTACGAGGTGGGCGCCTGGAGGCATTGTCGGAGAGGCTCATGTTTAAACAAATAATTTATCAACAAAAAAAAGAAAAGAACCTTTCTAATTTTTTATATGTCAAACGGATGATTTAAGCTTTTGGATATTCCGAAAGTAACCGACACCGTTGGTCACACTGCCTTTTCTGGCTCTCAATATGGCCGTTTCCGCATAAACTATAGTTTTTGTCATATAACTAAGACGCAGCAAAACGAGACGATTATTGCAGTATTATGTTCCCTTTTCGAAAAAAAATATTTTTCGACTTCTCCTTTTACATACTTCTATCATCTACAAAAACATACACATTTTGTAGTAACAGCGTTTTTAATCTCAACCAAATGTCGCGTTTTCATTGGTCGCATGCCGTCCTGGCTGCCGGCACGATGCTCCTCCCATGGCTGGAGTTCATTTCGATCTTTGATTGTTTTTTTAATACGAAGATTCTAAATCGGATGCGCATCGTTATGATTTCTGCACTTCTAGGATGGTTAGTGCCCGCAGAGTTAGTTATCGCCAAATATAGGCCATCTCAAACACTTCCTCTGGACACCATTAAACTTTGTGCACATATAAAGCCTCGCATATCAGTCGGGCATAAAACCTTGATCCGTTAAGCTCTGGATGAGTGCGATGCGTATGCTATATTACAAGAACAAAAAAGTTACTGCGCATGATCAAAACGAGTCTCATGGCCCAGAAGCTAACCATGCCGATATTGAGATTTCGATTTTTAGAATAGTCTAGAAGCAGAGCGTTACGCTCGGCTACGTGTTCAGAGCGAACAAACCAACCTGCGTAGAATATTGCACTCCCGTGTCAGTGCCTCATGAAGCAATAAAAAATAAAAAAAAGCTAATCTGGGTGCACAGATGGATGAAGACAGGAAAACATTTGCGATTCGTTTTCGTTAGCTGCAGCCCTGGATGGCCGGAAACAGCTGAAGCGGATGACAAGAATACAGGCAACCCAGGCTTATGAAATGTTCTGCCGAAAAACAAAACAAAAGAAAAAACATGGTGTTTTCAACAACAACAAAAAAGTGGATTCCAAAGAAACGTTTAAATAGTTTTCCTTTGACTAAATACCGTCTGGGCTCATTCCTCGACGTCCATTGAACTTCAGCGTTGGTTGTTACAGGACATGCCAGATATAAACGAGAAGAATTACTCTCCTCACCCCGTGACCAAGATTTGCCTGTCTCGTCTTCTTCTGTCGGCTGGTACCCATACGTTCACGTGCCCGGGTTGCCCATGCTCCGAGCACGTGATGGGTGCGTGGATTATTTTAGCCGTTAGAGTCACCACCGCCCAGAATGATGAAAGCCCGAACTCTGGGATTCTGACGTCATCCCTGTGAGATGGAGAAAAGACCCCGATTGGATACGAGTGCAGCGTCAGTGTTCGGCAGTGACTCGTGTCCAATCGGAGGGGCGCGTCGAAAGACGCTCCGCAGGTGGCACACACTGACTCTGATGACGGTCTATGTAGGAAGAGGAGGTCGTTCGCAGGTCTTTGGATATTCTAGGTGATGTTGTCGAAGCTCGGTATTCCGAGGAGAGTCGTAAGCTGAATTTAGCTGATGTTGATGGGCGCCTTTAAGACCGCATAGCGAACGCCACCGAGTGGACGCGCCCCAAAGAGGCGCTTGGCGTCCTTGGAAGCTTGTCAACTGACTTTGATCTAGTAACGTTGGATTACAACACACTCCAAAATAAACACTGACGCGGACGTTAATGCAAAATCGTGAGTCATTTTTTGTGTGACGTCTCGAATGTACAGGCCTCGTACCCTCCACTTGGAAGTTCACTCAACTTCTTCCTTCAGCACTTTTAAAAGGTACGCCATTATTTTGGCACCTATGGTCTCAACTCAGATAATCATAGGAATCAAAGTTGCCAAACGGAATTTCGAAAACGCTACAACTTTTGTTCAAATTTTGTTTAACGGGTACTTAATTAGGCAACTAAAATAACTTGTTGAATATTTTGTTCAATATTTTATTATCTTGTTCAACAGAGTTGCTGGTGCCACACCGTATGGTTACAGTGCCTTCGTTTTGTCAGAATGTGTGTCTCATGTGGCTGGTTGGTATATATCGCACAATTACTGCTAATCTGCGACCGGTATCTCTTTATTTTGCAAACACAGATCCCCTGGTGTATATACTGCTTTAACTTCGATGCAACGATACTAGACCTGCTCAACTGGGAAACTCGCCAGTGTGACGCGAAGCCCTCACCCCTACCAGATCCGATTGGATTACAGTGATACCCGTTGGGCGATCAGTTTGTTCTTTTAATTTGTTGGTTAGTTGGCGATACATAACCTATACGGCGGCGAAAACGGAGCTATTCCAATATGTCTAGTTCGCCTTGAAAACACGGGTCACGTCCAGTCCTCCAAACCACTTTTATTTTGGTTTCGCAACTCAGTTGTTCTAGAAACGTTGTTGCAGAGTGAGCAACCGGAAACTCGGCGCAGCTGCGCGATTCGGTGGGACGGCGTATTCCACCAGATGTGAGTATTATACCGATAGACTCGCCAAACAGAGCAGTTAGATTCGCATATCCAGGATGCTCATAATTTACAAGGGTCACCGAACAATAGAAGCGTGCCACCCTCGCTGCGCTTGGTCACCGCTGGGACCTTGTAGAGTTTACTCCGAATCACACGCACAGTCTCAGCGGAGTCGATCCTACGATCCAATAAGAAGCTCTTACAGCTGCAAAAGATTTAAGGTTCATTACTGCAAAGCGATCACTCGCAAAACCTTGTTTTTTTATAAGAAATTGTTGTTTTTATCAATTTTTGATTTATTTTGCTTACGACCGGCTCACTTCTGCCAACATTTAACACACCCTCTTCCCTAATATTCGTACTCCTGGGGCCCGATGAGATGAAAATAAAATGAACGACTGAACAAATTAATTAATTCAAAATTGAACACCCACCGGGTCGATAATTAAGGAACTTCGCACACATCTTCCGGCCCCGACACTTGAGCACGTGTGATAAAATGTCAGACACGGTTTCGTTTGAATGCATGCTAACGATTGCTGCGCGGTTCGGGTATTGAAAAATAATCTCAAACCTGTCCTTCTAGTTTAAGCCTTTATGCGTGTTTCGGCCTCTTTGTTGCGCAAGTGTTCTAGAGTGCATGATATGATATGTGATAGGGGTATGGAGGAGACGAGAAAAGAGTGTAGGCGCTTTAAAATAACAGGAATAAAACACAATTTCTAGTTCTAAAAGTAAGCATGTGTCAACGGCGTTTTTAAAGACATGCTGTTCTTGTAGGCCAAATCAGCGAAGGAATTTAGGATTTTTGCTAACTCGATATGCATAACAACTAACATAACGACGCCCACTCTAGCATTGCAAACGCTTTGGAAAGACCCACAGATGTTTTAGAGCAGTACAGGGCCGGAAGCGACCACATTAAAAGGGTTTGAGCTCGACGAATTGCAGCACACTCGGCTCTGAATACGAGGACGTAGAAATAATCCACCTTCGTTATCCTCTGACCTTAGGTGAGTGAAATCCGGTTCTTTTCTTCCAGTTGATCTTCCGTTGTGGAACGTATTTTTATATCGCAGGCAGAATTTTGTGTTTGAAATTCCTGAGCGCATAAAATTACATAATAACAGCCAAGATTAGCCTAATCAGCCCTTATTAAAAAGTATACATTGAAATGATTGGCTTCTTTTCACAGAAATATGTATTCAAACAAGATATATTAAACTTTAAAAAAGACACCTAAGACTGCCTACGTGTAGGGAATGCGAAAACATACCTACACGCAGCGCATTCGTACCAGCACCGCGCCACGTCTTCATTTTTCACACGGCGCTCCGGCGGTGACGTCACGCTCTCCCACTGCGCAGGCGCGGTACCGCCTCCGGCTCCACGGCTTCCGTGACGATGCATCTGAGTTGCTGTGCATTTCTTTGGGTTTTATTTCGGAGGCGCGTCCGCTTTGACATTTTAGCGCCCCGCCGGCTTTCGTGAAGAAACATTTGCGTTTATGTGCTTTTGGCCAAGGGAACTTTAGTCACCGATTTGATCAGCCAATGGGAACTTAGGTGCCGTTTTGTCTCTGCTACAGACAACGCCAGCTTCGCTCCATGGAACAGTTAAAGAGGCAGTGCAACAATATGCAATCGGAATGTTTTTTTGTTTTTTTTTCACTTTACACGAGCTTACATGCACTAGTGGGACTCAAGGGTACTCACACGCAACGCAACTGGCAGAGAAACTCTTTTGTTGCTGTGTAATTTCAATGACAAGAGCAAGCGTTTCCATCCAATTTCTCCTTCACGAAACTTTGCGACGTAACTGGTGGATCGCAGTATCCTCCAGTGACGATATTTGAATGCGGCTCATAAATTGCACCAGACAGGCACGTAGCCAGCATTTTGGTTCGCAGGGGCCCGCCCATGACAAAATGCTGTAGGAGGGGGGGAGGGGGAAAGGAGGTCCCAGCAAATTGAAATATTTCGGGGGGTCCCCCGGCTACTTGCCTGGCACCTGAGCATTGCGTGAGCACTCCATTTGGGCTCATGATAATCGATTGTTTGAGGACCATTCGGGTTTTTGCTTCGTGTCTAATTGGTGCAATGAGGACTATAGCAGAACGGTAACAAAGTATGGAACACAGCGCGTGTACTGTGCCTTGCCAAACCCAGCGCATGACAATGATGAACATTGGCGGCACAAAATCGGCTCCAGATCACGTGGCCGCTTCTTCTGGATGCGAGTTGAGGGAATGAACGCTGCTCGTTTTTCTTTAATTTGTTCTGAGACTTCGATTGCGTGGGATGGAAACGGACGGCTGTTTCCCAAGTCCCTAACATCAAGTTCCATTCTCCCCTTTAATGGTTTCGCTTTAATACGTCGTAGCTAGCGAGGAAGACTTTAAAAAGATGTTTAAATGGCTATGTCCTTGCTCCGCTACCAAATCATCTGCACACAGTAAAAAAAAACAAAAAAACTGTGTGTGAATGGGATAAAAGGCGATTGAATAACAATTCCGCCACGGATTTTTATATATATATATTAATATCCAAGTAACTCCGTCGACAAGTTCACACTTTTACCGCAGAAATTCTACCTTCCAGGAATTACAGTTCGGTCATGTTGGGAAGCGTCGAATCTCAAGCCCTTGTCGCTACTTTCAAAAAACATTTCGTGGGCAGGTCTTATGCCGCCCTGAAGAACGGGCCGGGTAATACTTTTCACCAAGAAGAGCTTCACCGAATTTTTCAATCAGGTAAGTTGTGCTCAGTGTTCTTAGAACTGAGCTTCCTCTGTTTTATATTTGCGTTTCCGGAGTTAACACATCAATCAAAAAAGGAACGTTTAAAACATGTGAGCGGAAAGAAATACTCTACAAAGCATAAGCGTGCGATCCCTCCTCGATTTAGGGAAGCCTAAGATTTGTAACGCAGGGGTGGTTGTCGGCTGTGCTGTCCCATACTTTGATTTTATCCGATCATCTGCACAACTCGTGCCATTAAATAGACCACGTTTGTAAAATTTTAGTTTTGGCTCACTGTATTAAAGCAACGTAATATTCCCGAGGATAGTATGATCGTACGTGAGACTCGTAGGACATACTAAAATAAAATGTTACTCTTTATATAAACACTTCCTGATTCCTTGGTAACCTTTCGCATTGATCTTAATTATCAGCCCCTGTAATGTCACCATTCCCATGCACACTTTCGCATTGAGTCCAAACGACTGTAACGGATGAGGCTAAAACAGAACTCCTTACCACGTTGGTTATATGCTTTCAAAGCGAACCGTCCTGATATTGCGATAACTTTGTACAAAGCGTTACGTTCCACACGCACCAAAAATGTTCGCGATCATTTAATCCTGTAAAAAAGAGGTTGTTTTTTAACGAACGACTTTTTTACACCCTCTTTAACATATCTTTAACGTGTGTAGGTGTAACTTGTAAACAAACTTAGCATCCTTGGTTCTACCCGCTAATTCAGGTACCAAAACCGTGTTAAGGCGCGTGTAAAACGAATGTAATGGTGACAGTTTTCATCACACCCATGGTCAATCATTTATTGACAAGACCAAACTTTGTTATTACGACGGCCAGCAATAAAAACATCACGATCATTTGGTTGGCTCCTTCCCGTAGCAGTATCTGGATTGCACGACAATGGTTGTATTGTTTATAATCAATTCTGAAAGCTCAAGTAGAAACTACTGCTAGGATTATAAGTGCTTTTTTTCGAACTCAAGCACAAGAGGTAAGATGTGATTATCGCAGCAAACTTGTACGTATCGCGTTGCAGGTAACCTGTTAATGCACCTATAGTTACTTTTTTGTTAATGAAGTAGCGACCTAGTTGTCTTTAAAGAAAAGGAAGGATGAAAACATTTTTTTAATTAAATACGCAACAGCTACTGTCTAATGAAAAAAAGAACGACGCCTTCGGAGCAGCAAGAAAATTAAGCTTTACTTGCAAGCTGAAGTAATGCGTTGCACTTTAATAACGTTAACGAGTAACTTACTTAACTACTGTTTGAGGGAGTAGCGAGTAACGGTGTCGAGTTACTTCATTTCAGTCCCTTGTGCATGTGTGGCTTGCAGTTATCCCTTCAAAGTGAAATACAAACTAAAAGTGCAAACGCATAATTCATTTTTGGGTATTGCTCTCCGTGAGCCATCACCAGCGAGCAAGTAGGTTTTTGTCAATCTTCCTCTTCGAAACGAACAAAAACAGATCACCTCTTCTTCGCACTAGTGTTGCGCACTTTATAGAGTGTTTTCTAGTCGATATATATACTTCTTTAACAGAAAGGGGACTTCTGTTACTGTATTTTAGCCCTTGAGACAAGTTGTTGCCTAAAGGGGTCGATAGAAAGAGGTAAAATGGGTAAATTATTTGGCGAATTGAATAAACCTTGGTGCAATACCTATATTGTTCCAAGGAACCTTTTGGTCCAATAAACGCACATAATCAAATAAGATCATATGAGTATATATACGAATAATAAGTGTATGTAAGATATTATAAGAAACTGGTCACAAGTTTCGCATAACGTCTTATATAACATTTTATGGTTCCCATCTCTTTTATAAGGTTCTTAATGCTCTTATATAATCTTTTCTGGTCATGTACGTTTTTTGAACCAGATATCTTTTTTTGCATGTCACAGTTTTCACCAGGTAAATGTTTTTTTTTTTTACTTTTTTTACATTCAATTTTGAGCGACGTAATGTATATGAGGAATTGACGCTGGAGCTTAATACCGTGAAAGTTCGATGAAGCCATTGCAGTGGACGCTACGGGACGAGAAATGTCGCCCTTGTACACAGTTTCAAACCGAAATGTAGACCGAAAATGGTGTCGTTATCGCAACCGGCAGAGAGTGGAGGGATACATCACTTAACGGACTTTACCGGCTTAGACTCCGATTCAAGCCGTGTGCAAAGATGACACTTCTCGTCCCGTAGCACCTACTGAGTATTTCTTTTTTTTTTTCAAATCAATACTTCATGGCAGGGATAGGCCGCATCGCGGTCGAGGGTCAATTCTATAAACACAATATGCTTTGTAAGAAAAAACGACGAGCATATTAAAACGTTTTCGTTAGTTCGCTAACTAAACTCTGAAATACACCAAGCTAAAACAACATAACCTATTTGTGATAGTTCACACTACGTTCAAACGCAGATTCTTTAGAATCACCAAAGTTTCCCTGGTTACGTCACCGATAGCTTTCGGCAAAGCGAGAGAAGCCAAAACCTGTTTACTTTACTGAATTTGAATTCCGCAATGTGTCCAGTGTCTGTCCTCAGGAATACGATGAGTATGAAGATTCAGGAATCGTGACCACAAAATAGAGGATACTAGAACTTTGGGATGCAGTTTTCAAATGATAACGCACAATTGTTAAATCGGTGAGGGTTCAAGGTTAAGCTGGACGAAAGCGTAAATCTCATGTGCCTTCCACAGATTTGGCTCAGGGCAAGACACTGCTGGAAGTAGGCGCCGGGCCGTTGGTCTGGTATTCTTTCATGTCCTCTAATCGATTCGACGACATCGTGCTCAGTGACTTGGTCGAAGACAACAGGAAGGAGCTGGAGAAGTGGCTGAACAAAAGCGAAGATGCCATCGATTGGACAGACCGTGCAGAGCAAGTCGCTGCCTTGGAAGGCTATAGGTACATACATCAGCACAAAAAAAGACACGAATGTTTAGGGGTATTAGAATTTCTTACTTCCCGTAGAATAATGGAACACAAGAACGAGCACATGGAAGTAAAGAGCCAGAATTGCCGTTCACAGGGAAATCTAAAAAAGAAACTCTTGATGAGCAATTATTAACGAAGAAAACGTTCTAGGGCTATCTCCTATGTATAACGATATAAAACGTAAAGAAACCATGCTCTCCCATTGTAGTTCAACCAAGCTTCTTTAGACAAATACTTTGTGCCCCTCCAGGAATCGCACTACGAACCACAGGCTCTTATGTCTGAAACTCTTCACCTAACCAATTGAGCGAATAGGATGAGTGTGGTCACAGCAGTTTGTTTCCGCAAGACTATATGTTGTTCCAGCGTAGGCAGGTGTTATGTGGGGTCACGTTATCACGTAAGTATACCAGAGGCTACGAGAGCAAATATTCAATAGAGGTTATGATATAGCATAGACTATATTTACGTGACGCCACGTGACATGAATCCCTTATGTCACATGGCACAGTGTCATTTAAACTAGTCACGTGACATTATTTTGCATTACCGCATGACGTCATGTGGTCACGGTTGCACATATAACGTGGCAACGTGGCCCATAGTAACGAATGACGTAAAAGGTCACGCTACTTACCGTAGTATCGCACGAAACGCCGTGGCTGCCTTCCAGAGAAGCCGCGGTGGCTAGTCATTGGTCAGTTGCAAACATTTTATCTTACCATAATACTTCAAACAAATCCGATTGACAAAAAGTGCGACGCATCTTTGTGTCAATTTCCCTAGCAAAAAAAAATAAGCAAAATTAAAATAGGCAAAAGGAGCGAAACAGTTTCAAACATATTCAAACAGCTTCACTCGGAACACACTAAGCATTCTGCGTCACTCAGATTATAGCAAATGATTAAGGTATTTTGTTTACAACATCAAGTGTTTTTTTGGTTCAATGCTGAACCGACCAGGTTTGTTCAGAAGGTTGATTGTGGCTCACAAATAATACGGGATCTCTGGGTTACTAGATCGCTCGCACTTGGTAAATTTACATCCATCGACCAATAATCGAGTTGTGGCCAATTCATGAGGTGGCAGATGACTTTCAGCGTTACCAGTATTCAAAGCACGGTTTGTGCCCCAGATATTGGCTAACTCCGGCGCGTGGTTTGGATTAACCTTGGCGGCACCACCCTGCGAAAGAACAGCTATACTATTTTTCTGTCCAACAGTTGAATTACATTGACTCTTCGCTGTTAGAGTAAACCTGTGGGGTGGATGTAAAAGCGTTCGCGTGTCTCATGCACTGCCGATACCATCGGTTTTGTCTGAACAGTGTGTAAAAAGTTGAGGATACACCTTTTGTAGTCTTTTTAATAGCTTTCTCGTAAAGTGATTTGTTTTCACTTTGGGAGAATGTTTGACTTAGGGTCCAAGATCGGCTCTAATGCACGAGGCAAAGTGTTATTTATACATACGTGCATTTCTTCAGTGAGCGTGATCCAAAGGGGTTTTTCGCAGCTAACTTTAAGAAGAAATATGCAACCATCAGTTCATTAGTTGTCTTCGCCATGGACGAAACGCCACGCACAAAACTAAATTTTAATTTATGTTAAACATGACGACAGTGTAGGATAAGTTTAAAGCCCCTAATGGGAGTTTTGAAGCTACATTTAACTACGTTCGTTCCTGCAATATAATCGTATTTTCCCCTTTAAGTGGTGAACATCTGTCAAGCAAGATATCTAGCAAAGTGCCGGGGACGTATTGTGACGACCAGCATGCTCAAGGAACTAAGGAATGCTTTAAAAAATCCCGTTCAATTTCCGCGCGTGCCCGTTTTGATATGAATGAGCACTGCACCGCCGTGCGGTTGCTTATCACAACTGCGTTATGCTCGCGAAAGGTCGCAGGCTAGCCGTGGTACTTTCCTGGATAAAGTTCTCACCTAGAGCGGAGAAATCAGAAGCCGACTGAGGCTTACTAACCTCATGGTGTCAAACAAAGAAAGCAGTATCGTAATTGATATAAAAAAATTACCTAACCCCAGAGATTTTCAATATGACCTCGAGCATCATTGCCCAATGTGAGGCATCGTAACAACATACAAATCCATTGCCACGTTCTTATTCTGCTTCACAGTGACCTCAAGAAGGGGGCGTCGGAAATAATGGAGCGCACACGTTCCTCCATCCGGAAGGTGGTTCCCTGCAATGTCCTGAAACCTGGAGTGCTCCCCGAAGAACACAAAGAAACCTTCGACGTCGTTCTTTCCTGCAACTGTCTGGAAAGTGCCACGGCGGACCACGAATCCTTCCGAAGTGTTGTTAAGAACGTTGGATCACTCGTCAAACCCGGTGGCTTGTTCCTTCTGGGCGGTATCGGTGGTCTGAAGAGTTTCGCTGTGGCAAGCGCCGATTGTAATATGGCGAACCTCACCGAAGAGGTGATTAAAGGAGCAGTGGCAGATGCCGGCTTTCAATTAACACTATACCATACCAAAAACATGGAGTTTGGTGGGAACGCTGGCGTATTCTCGTTTATCCTCGTGGCCAGTAAACCTAAAGTCGGGTAGGGCGCCATCAGTTTGTCTGTGCGGCGTAGTTCCTTTAACAGCTGGGCTCCATATTTCCTTTGACAGCTGCTACGCACCCCTCCCTACCACAACGCGCGATCAAACAGAAATATATGTTAAATGGTTCCTCGTTACAAAGCGAAACGGACTTAAATATGACCGATCTGGACCTCGTTAATGGAAGCAACAACTCGTAGACAAGTCTGCCATTTTGGAGTGCTAGGAGACACTGGGCTCCTTCGATTTACCTGCCCTAGCCTGCACCTGTGCAAAAAAAGTGTAGTGGAGTTGACTAAATAAAAGAGCAATGTACTTCCGTTCGTCTTTGGGATAGGCTGCACCTGTGAATTCAAAACGGCGGTGTGCGATGAGTGCAGCTGGCGGACGAGGCGCATGTAAATCGAAGGTTCACTGGCACACTAGCAGTTTGGGTACGAATGCTACAATTATACCAAGTTAAGAAACAAAAAAAAAAAGAACGTTATGCTTATTCTGAAAAAAAAACAAAAAAACATATCTTATAATAATAAAGTTTTCCTTTGCTCACAAACGAGCTTTTTTTTTCTGACTCTTTCTTTGCGCATGATTCGACCGAGGGCTTTGCAATAGGGTGTCGAACCGAACCGGAACCCGAACCGAAAACCGGATCAAAACCGTTATTTGTGACCGAACCGGAACAAAACCGAAACCGAAATCGAACGCTTCATACTGAACCCGAACCGGAGCGGAACCATAATCTGATGTGGCGGTTACCGGTTCAACGAAAACGGTTCAGGGCCAATTGTGTCAATAATTGGTCTAAATGGGAAAAGTTGAGGGCGTATTTTTTTTTTACGTTGCCAAGACTAATCTTGCATACTGTGAGATATTTTTACATTTCGTTTTTATTGCAAACGTAATAAAAAATACATCATCGTCTGGAGAGCTTCAACTTTACTTTGTTTCTTGGATCGACCCTGACGGCGCGCTAGCGGCGGCGGCGATTTCAAAGCACCGCTTGGCCACTTGGCTACGAAATGTCAGTGTGTCGGAGAGGATTGCGCCACTCTAAGCACGGAGGCCTACGCGTCCGCGAATGTTTGACCTCAAGATGGACCGCAGTTGCAGTCGACGAGCCATTTAGCCAGTCGATCACCGAGAGCGCACCACGTGTCCTTCCGCCTTCCGCTTGAGTGCAGCGTGGCGACACGCCGAAGGAGGGTGGACCGCGCTACATCGGCAGTATAGTTTGTAGGGTCGCCTGTGGTCCATTTCAATGAAAAACAATCTTTTTTTCAACTTGTTCGGAGTGTTACGTCAGAAAACGAAAGAAAAACGAAAAAGATGGGCCGTCGGAGACTAGGTTACTCGGCGATGATTCGCCGACGCGCCGCGCCCTGGAAGGAGGCCAGGGGGACGGGAACGGGGGGGGGGGGGGGGGGGGGGATAATTTTTGTTTTGATGTACGTTTGTCAGATTAGCAAGGTCAGCATGTCGCCTGTTCAACCATTTTCTCATTTTTGTTTGAAGTCCTCTTTCATCGCCTTCAACTGAGCATTCCAGAAACGTTGTTCGCTGCGGTGGCATTATCAGAACTTTGTTCGGTGGCTGACAGTTTCAAATGCGAGTGCTGTTATAATATTATGACAGACGTAACGTTAACAATCCATGCTATGTAAGTGTTTCTGAGTCCCTCAGACCGGGTCATTTGCATAGAGCGTTGTTTGGGATAAAAAGTCAAAGTGACTAGACAAAGCATCGCCACCAGATCTTTAGAACAGCGTTTTTCCGCCGGAACCCGAGGCGCTGTTGGCACTGTCAACATGTAGTCCCATTTCATTATACGTGTGCGCTTACGTGCCCGGTCATTGACACATCGGCCAGTCTGGCCGATGTATACACGACCACAGCTTAACGGGATTCGATAAACTACCCCAAATGCGCACTCGACGTCCCTGTTTCTCTGTTTTACGGCACAATTGTTTCCTCTCATTCCCCGGTCAGCCACTTAGGGGCATATCTGTGACATCTTACTGGGCGCCGAAAACAGGTAGCATACATAAAAAAAACACGTGTCTCCCGACCAATACAAACAAAAACGTATAAAGGGCAAGCATTCCAGCTAGATACCTTTTTACGGTTCACAAAATCACAGCCCAGCGTGCGATCTCCACAGCTCAGCACGTGCGTGTTTGTCACTTCGGAAAGCAAGCAAAGCACGCGCTATACGCCCGAACACTAAAAATGGCACCGGCCACAAGCTCAATTTTTGGAAAGGTCTATAGACCCATCCCGAAAATAGGTCCTCTTTTGGCAGAGTTCGAACTACTGCGCAGCTGCGTGCGCAAAATAAGGCATAAAAATGGAAAGCAGATCGCTTATATATATAGTTCCCATAAGAACAGTAATATACAAGTAATAGCCTTGCCACATTAATGGTGTCTCTTGCGCACGTCACTGTGCAGGGTTTTTATATCTACCTGAAGAGGGAGTAGTGTTGGGATGGGTCTATTGCAAGTATCTCGTGACTAGAAAAGGCCGCAGGAAGTGCTTGGTCAATATTCGAAGGTCGAGTTGGCAACGGATTCGAACCGGTTCGCGCTCATTAAAACCGGTAACCGGAGTAATATTATGTGCACTACCTAAACCGGAACCGAACAGGAACAAAATACAATGCCACTCAACCCGAACCCGAACCGAACCGAAATAATGGCCGGTTCGACACCGTGCTTTGGAGTTTTTAAAGACTCTTGTCAAAAGAAGCATATACATCTTAAGTTTGACTTTAGCCTGCCATACTTCACATCAAACGATTAAATGTGTTTACTGTAATTAGTTTCATGTGTGATTAGATTACTTATGGCAAATTGTATTCAATGAAAAGTAGTTATAATGGTAAAGGCTCCCTGAGGATGTTTCTGAGATCGCCTAAATATGGCGAAACTCACACTTGGAGGTCTAAGCATCCTAGAAATTCATAAATCGTAACAATGCGCGGTCGACTTCCTTATTTAAACAAAAAAAAATTTAAGACGCTTAAAATTCTCTGTAATGCCGAATTAGAGCGCAGCTCTTGAGTAGGAGGGGGGAGGGTACGGAGGGGAGGGTATGCCCCACCTCCCCCTACGTACCCTCCCGTCCTCCTGTCCTGCTCCCCTTCCATTTAGCAGAAACTTTTCGCTACATTTTTCGCTAAATTAAGCGGAATTTTTTCCGCTAAATTTACCGCTGAATTCAGCGGGAAATTCACCAACATTTTCAGGCTAGATATAGCGGGAAATTTCACTAAAAGTTTCCCGCTAAATTAAGTGGGGAGACTGAATTGGTGTTGAGGTCACGTGATGTCCCATGTTGACGTCATATGTGAGGTAACACATGGCGTCACGTTTGACGTGACGAAGGTAAACTTTTTTCTGCTAAATTTAGTGGGGAAATTTTTCCGGTAAATTTAGCGGAACAATTTCCCGCGAAATGTAGCGAAAAGTTTATTTTCAAAATTTAGATGGAAACTTTTACCTTCGTGACATCAGATGTGACATCATTACGAGAAACGTCCTATAATGAAACGCGCAGTTACGCCGACGGTGGCGCCGACGTCGGCACCGCTCAATCAGGAAACGAGCGCCTAAGAGCTGCTGCTCTAAAAAGCAATCAAAGATCGAACACACCGAACTGATCTCAGGCGATGGGGGAAACATTGTTCCGGCAGCCAGGACAACGCGATATCAATGAAAACGCGACATTTCATTGAGATTGCAAACGTTGTTACTAAAAAATGTGTATGCTTTTGTATATGATAAAAGCAAATTACAGTAGTCAAAGATAATTTTTTTTTTGCGGAAACATATTAGCACCATAATCCTCTCAAGAACAGCGCACTATGTTCGCTTTTGTATTCCGCGGTAGTGGTGTTTCCGGACGTCAGCTCTCGAGCGCGCGCTCGCTGGCATGAGTCGTAGTTCGCGCTGTATTGGCTGCTACCCGCACTCATCGAAGGACTACTCCGCGGTTCCATCAGTCGGAAGGGCGTAAATCTTTCGCTCGCTATTGGCTGACAGCGGTCCTGGTTTCGGGATATGCTGCTCCCATCGCCTGATATGTGTCCTCGGTGTGTTGCGATGATTGATTGCTAGGATGCTTACAGCCAGCAGAGCGAGTTATCGCTTTGGTTAGGTGATCTCAAAAACCTTCTCAGGGCAGCTTTAAGCTTGACAAATAGTAGTTATATTGTTAAGCTAATTTCTTAATACATTAACAATTTTTAATGATGTATGTTAAAAAATGCATGCACGCCCCGCGGATTACGAGGATACAGAAGATTGTTGTGTGTGGTTGTCCCGTCTGGTTTAATTGGGTTGATTTAGGTTAGGATAAAAATATATGTTATGCCCCGGTGCATATTATTTCGGACCGATCAAACCGATTATCCGATCAAATAGTGCGAAATGTTGTTTGTCGCGGTGCTCGTTCTTTTTGGGGATTTGCTATAAAAAAAAAAAATAAAAAAAAAACAATAACGCACAAAAAAAAAAAAAAAAGTCGAAGGATGATTAATTTTATCAAGAGCTTTCTACACAACCGAACCTTTGAAATCTCATCCGGAGCACAACAACCAAATTTTTTTCAAAATTCTCGTGGTGTTCCACAGGGTGCTATCTTAGCTCCTTCCCTTTTTAACTTTGTGATGCGGGATCTGGCAAATGAACTCAGGAAAATAGAGCACTTGCAGCTTACGATAACGCGGATAATATAACTCTCTAGGTCGATTCCCGCGATGCGTCACTCGGTACTCACACCACCATAGCCACTGTACAAAAGGCCCTCGACACCCTCGACCGGTGGTTACCGGCTACAGGAATGAAGCCATCACCAGAGAAGACTGCGGTCCTACTGATTGGCGGCCTTCCTCACCTCCGGGCGCAAGTTAGTCTGACCCTCGCAGGGAAACCCATCCACCGACCAGAGGAGCGCTGGATTCGCATTCTCGGAGTTCCCTTTCATGAAGAAGGAGGCGCCGGGGA